ATAACCGACTAAAGCAAAAGAAACGAGGAAACAAGGGGAAATTACTGAAAATGAGCAGGTTCAGTTTCGCAGTTCGTCAATTAAGGTGTATAGTGTGCACTACGCATACTGAGTTACAAGTGACTCAACGGTACATATTATAGTTGTAACGAACAGAAATTTTGCCGAATGAACGAATATCGAATAATTTTTTTGAAATTTTTCGAACGAATGAATATCGAATAATTAATTTCCGAAAAAATTTCGAACGAATGAATATCGAATATTTGATTTTCGAAAATTCTTCGAATGAACGAATATGTCCGGCTTTCGTTTTTCATTTTATTCGAATTACACCTCGCGTTTTTTAATGGGGACTCTGTATGGATAGAGATGGACAACAAGGAAGTGGAAGAGAGGAGGTAGCTGTAAATCCGCACACTGAACAAAAATGATAGAGTGCAAGTACATGATTCACAAACTGGTACATTTTCCGCTTGATTTGAGATCATTGTGGGTTCACTTTGCTGTAGCAATCAGTACGAAAAGCCGACTTTGGCCGCTTTTTACCTTGCCTGCATATTCGCGCCTGCCCATTGGTAAGGATCGACCACTATGCACAAGCGCCTTGGGGCTCCTGGTTAAAGGCAGTGAATCGGCAGAATGAGACCCGTGGCAAAACAAGGTCACAGGGTAGAAGCCCCCATAATGGAACCTATGGGCCAAAGCTCGATCTTTCGCTGCCACTTCTAACCCCCGAAATTTCACCGCGAAAGCAGCGCTCATCTCCTCTCCTCTCCGACCCCGCCCACCTCACGGACGAGTGAACGCGAAGTCCGTCATGGCGAAGACGCAGAGTCGTTGCGGGTCCCTCATGCTTATAGCATTGCGGCTACGCGCTCTGACCGTGGAAGTCACTCGTCCATGGGGTGGGCAGGGTCGGAGAGAAGAGGAGATAAGCGCTGCTTTCGCGTTGAAATTTCGGGGATTAGAAGCGGCAGAGAAGGATCGAACTATGGCCCATAGGTCCCATTATGGAGGCTCCTACCCTGTGATTTTGTTTTGCCACGGTCTCATTCTGCCGATCCACTACCTTTAGAGGCAGTGTCCGGGCAAAAACTCGATCTTGAGATTTTTTGCTTACCCGGGCCTATTCGCTACGCTGAATCCGAAAATGCGCATTGAAGAGCGCGAAAATGGCGAAAAATGGCTCTAACATGGGAGGGAAATCAGCAGGTGGGCGGGGTCCTCCCCACTGTGAATTCACGCTCCCAGCTTCCAGAGCGATCTTCCCGGTTCCGATTTCAAGTCATGAATTCACACCCGGCCGGAGATCTCAGGGCGCTAGAGGAATTGGGAAAATCGCTTCAGAAACTGGGACTGCAAAAAGCACAGTGGGGAGGGGCCCACCCACTTTCGATTTCCCTCCTGCGTTAGAGCCATTTTTTTGCCGTTTTTGCGCTTTCAATGTGGATTTTGGGATACAGCATAGTGAATAGGGCCGGGTAAGCACAAAATCTCAAAATCGACTTTTTGCCCGGACACTGCCTTTAAAAAGCTCAGAAAGCTGTGGAAAGTTCTTCCTTGAAATCAGCATGCATAAAAACTACTATATTTTACAGAATCTAAAAACAATGACGGATCTTCAAAACAAGTCAAAGGGGACTTCGTGCGAAATTTTCTCAAACGGGACTTCGTTTTGAAATTTCCCTGGTGCCAGCTCGTGCCGAGCCCTGCACTCGGACTCAGCGTAGGGGTGGGGTGCAAAAAAAACTTTCAAATGAGAATTTGAGTGAAAGGTGCCTTTATGTATCGTTTGAAGCTCGGCCCTTCCCACCCGCAAAACCTAAACGAGGCAGTCGCGAGCGACCCGACAGAGCATCCATCACTTCTAATGATGCGGTGAGTTATACATTTGTATACTACTCTACTCACCTATGCTACCTTTTTGATATAAATCTTGTACGAAGTTCATGCGCTCGTTCCATCCTGCAACAGTACTATCGTCCGAATCGCAGTAAACCCGTTTCAGGCAGAACTACGTTTTACACTTGTTACCGTGTATATCGTAGCCCGAGATAATAACGCCACGGTTCAAAACCAATGTGATATTTAACATCGACGGGCCGAATAACCCAGGTTTGAGCCAGGTTTCGGGCAAATCCGTAATTTTGACCCTTTAACTTAGTCCTACCGTAACTCCACCGGATGGCGCTGTCGCACGAAATAAACATCATACTCTGTTTAGCATACCAAATCACCCCCCTAAATGAAGTTTTAGCGGAATTCACAATTTTCATTTTCTGGGTCAACTAATGTGGAATAGTACCGAATACCATTGTACTCAGACGCTGGCTGCGACGGGAGGCCTGCGCTGATGGTGTTGCAGTGCCAGCTACATGCCCTCATTGAGGCTTAGCGCGGACAGCGTAACGTAACAGCAACAGCGCCAGCGGCGCTGAAAGTAAATTGCAATGAGTGCCCAACTTGTAGTGAGGAACGCCCCCCCCCCCCATTTCTGCCCCCTTTCACCGTATGTCACAAGCATACCTCACCATCCGCCACACGATTTCGCAACAGTACGAGTGTCCAAATCTCATCATAAACGCATTCTAAATCTAGAGAGAATGGGCGATTTGTCCACCTACAAAAACCATACAAGCTATATATTTGTAGTCTACCGGAAATGCATCTAAATATACTTAGCAGAGCCAGATGTAGGTGGAAACCACGAGCTGCACCCGAGGCATTAAAGCAGAAGCGAACCCTCGCCAAACAATGTAATAATTCGGATGCTTCATCATCGATATCTTTGCTTGTCGTTTCTGTTGAATAATCGCAATGATAGGAGCAAATTTGCTTAGAATCGTTTGCGTTCAAATAATCGTAGTGATAAGAGCAAATTTATAAGAAAATTTAAAAGTTTTTTCGAATCATCAATATATTTGAGTAATCGAATCCCCAAACCATTTCAAGTCAAACTTTTGACCTATCTCATCGGGCGTGCAGAGCCATAATGGCGGAGCACTGCCCGGCGAGCGCATCAACTACTTGCAGGGCTTGACACTTGACCGCCGGCGGCAGGGGAAGCGAGCCTCCGCAACACACGCACACCGCCGCACACCGCCCGCCGCCATCACTGTCTGAGTATACCGCATTCCCGCACTGACGCTACTGCATTCCGCCCGTATTAGTGCTGAACACATATCATGCAAATTCATGTCCTTACGATCCTTACAATATATCAATGTTTCGAGCATGCCGACCTCTTGCATTTCGTTACGACAGTTAATCGAGAATACTCGCATCTCGCATCAGAAAAGTGTCACAACTAAAATGCAAAATGATCGGTATGCAATGGACTCGTGATAGTTGCCCTGTCAGAAAAATTGCGAGGCGATAAAATCAGGAGATGTATGTCAGGCCCTTTACCGTCCCCCAACAGTTGCTGCTACGCTTGATCTGTTCTTTGACTGGCGGCAAGCAAAACATTAGCAACATGCAGAAATATATTGACATCAGGATAGAATGTTTTAAGTGTTGCATATTGCAAACATGTTTTTTTTTCATGTGGCCTACGTGTCAGAATACGTGCCGCGATTCAGAGCTGAGATCATGGGTGCGCCCACTGGCACGAAATCAGCGTTGCAAACGGTGATCACTTTTTAACCAGTGACATTAGAATAAGCATTATCAAAGAAGGGCTAGAGTCATAGCGGCAAAAGCCGTCTTCCGTTAGATTTGAAACCACGAGTTCAGCTAATTTCGAGATCTTTTCACATAAGCTCAGAATGTGCTTAGCTATTGGAAATGTAAGACCATGTTCTGGAAGTGATTGCAATTTGAGCGGAACGCGAATAGCGAATCATGGTCAATATACGTGTACTGTTATCATTTGCAAATGATAGGCTAACAGCCAATCGTTTACAAATGACAATGTACATATATATAAAATCATGACACGATCATCAGTGCTTACAACGTCAGCAAGGACAAAGCATTATGACAAAGATAGTCAACATCAACTTGCTCGATTACATGACTATGCAGGGCAGCGACTTCCACGAATAAGCCACAACAGTAAGCCATCTGCTATCCTCGAGTCATTTTCAACTTAACATGCGTGTTGCTCACCTGCGCTATTTGTAAGATTAGAATTTGTAAGATTAGAACCGGACATTTCCAATAAATTCTCGATGTTTCCCTTCTCTTTCGGTTTAACTGGATATGTGATATCTCTGATGATATACACACGTTCACAGCCCACGCGTTGTGTGCACATCACACACCAAATTATGAATGACTCGACGATGCATACAATGCAAGCTGCATAAATGACAAGCTAGAGAAGAGGTCAAATTCTGAGAATAAGTTAAAGGCAGCGTTTAGGCGGGTACAACAACGAAAAAGCCATGCATTAGCGACCTTCACAGCGATAGGAGGAAATTCAAAGATATTGGCAAAATCACTCGCGGGAGAATCGTATAGCAAAAAGACATCACAGGATTGAAACAAAACTTAGCAGATGCACGGCAAAAATCATGAAGAGGAAAAATGCTAGGGATGGTTCACGCATCGTTCGACCGCGCCGGTGCCCGTCCGAATTCGCCTGAACCGCCGGAACGAGTAGTGTGCATATAAAATTCGAGTGATTTTTGACGAAGTACACAAACGCGCGCTAAGCGTGCAGTACGCCAGTTTCCAGGCAAATCTCCTTGCCTTCCCTCATTTGGCGGGTTGCGACACGTTCCGGCAGTTAAGGCGGATTCAGATGGGTACCGGCGCGGTCTGAACAATGCCTTATGACGTTCTGCAGAGCAGAAACATGTCTGAGGAAACCAGGTCAATGAAGCCCGACGCAGCGTCAAGTTGTTATTACTAATATCAAGTGCTTGATCGAGCCAACACATCCGGCTTGGCCATTGTTCCAGCAAAGAATTACTAATATCAAGTGCTTGATCGAGCCAACACATCCGGCTTGGCCATTGTTCCAGCAAAGAAACCAAGTGACCAAGCGATGGTCAAGAAAACTCTATCTCAAAAGCTCGCATAAGCTTGCCTAAAAGTTTACCAATATAAATGCGATTGGCTCGAATCGTAGAAATTGAGAAATTTGATCAGCCGCAGTACCAGTCAGTGTTAGGGCGCTGACAATCCTTCGCATGGCTCGTGAATTCATGTTGGAGAAGTAATCGTCGTTCAGCAAAGATTCACCGATATCACGAGTTCCGACAACAATCGTTGCCTAAGTATAAACCGTGGGTGTCCTCGTTAGTTAGTAACACTTTCTAACTTCTAGGGGACAACAAAGAAACGATACACATTTAATGCTAACATTGACCTTCCGACTTTGGCGACCGTCAGTCAAAGACAGATGGAGACCCCTGGAAAGTGTCTTGGCGACGATAGCGTTCCTTCCAGTCAGCCAGAGCTTCGCTTTTGTCCTTCGATTGTATGACAGTAATGGAACTAATACTCGATGAGGCATTTTTCACCTTGAGCTTGTTCTGCAACTGACGGAGAGCTGGTGGTAAAGAGGCGTATTGACTATTGTTTTTCAAATAATAATGACCCGTGTGTTCGGTTGAGTTCGGTACCTCAAAAGATAAGATGTCATACTTCTTATATAACGTGAGATAGGAACACACAAAGTCTGTTTGTGATAATAAAGAAGATCCTATACTCAATTATAGTACTCACCAGTGAGTGCAGAGTGCATATTGTGATTTATCGCAGATACAATAATGTGGTGTGGATCAACCGCGATGATGGTGAACAACGGGCGATGCTTACGCGCAGAAAGTAAGAGCTCGAGAGCATCCAGCGTTTAAACCATGCGTTCCTTCAACGTTACATCGCAAAAAATGCAAACTGAGGAAAAAAATGACACAAAACCTGTCCACAATTATCGAGGCCATCAACGACGACTACAAGACGAGTTTGGCTTCTACTGAACGCATCTAGAGATCCAATCATGTCAGCTAGGATATCAACCTGAAATGAAGAAGTAAATGAACACAATTCCGACTCGCATACGACAGACTATAGCAATACGTTTACAACTACAAGTCAAGCAACAACCTTTTTTAGAATTCATATCCCACTAATTGTGTCAATTTGGGTTCAAAAAATCAAATGACAGTCCAAAAACCAGCTAAACCTACCTCGGACTGCAGTTTCTGCATTAGTTCCTCAAACCGCAATTGGAGAACAGCTTGCGCGGCTTCACTAACACGTTTTCTCGAGACATTAGTACAGCCGTATCGTAACAATATAATGGACTGGATGAATAGTCAGCATAGGAAATCAGCATAAGAAATATTGTCAAGAAGGCAATTGACACAACAAAGAGTCTACAATTCAACAAGTATTTTTCGGCCTAGTAAGAGCGGTAGAAGCCATAAGAAACATACCTCCCGAACTCGTAACTCTCTCGCTAATTAGCCATATTGTCGGAAATACTTTCGAAGCAAGTAGTATACAAACAGCAACTCACACTAACAGAACAATAACAACGCAAGTCCAGCTGCAAAATTCGATCCAAAAAAGGACCCTCGCATGTTCTTAAAGGCAGTGTCCAAGCAAAAAGTCGACTTTGAGATTTTGTGCTTACCCGGGCCTATTCGCCATGCTGAATCCGATAAACCACAATGGAAAGCAAGAAAACGCCAAAAAAAAGGCCCTAACGTAGGAGGGAAATTTAAGGTGGGCGGGTCCGTTCAAACCGTGACATCACTCTCCCAAGCTTTAGGAGCGATTTTCTCGGTTCCGATATTATGTCGGCGTTTCGCAGTTGGCTGGTGGTGATGTTGAGGTGATTAGCGGAAGCGAGAAGATCGCTCCTGAAGCTGGGAGAATGACACCACCATGTAAACAGCCCCGCCCACCTGCAATTTCCCTCCTCCTTTCGAGCCTTTTTCGCAATTTTCGCGTTCTCCAGTGTTGATTTTCGAATTCAGCATGGCGAATAGGCCCAGGTAAGCACAAAATCTCGAAATCGACTTTTTGCTTGGACACTGCCTTTGAAGGCAGCGTCCAAGCAAATTTGAACCTATGGGGCACTCAGGTCAAAATTAATCTTGAGGCTCTAAATAAGGTAGGTGCCAGAGTAAGCGAATATTTTGTTCAAGTTAGGGTCCCGCAGAATTGGACGTCGGATTGACGCCAGCATGGTGAGTGACGTAAATTCTGCGCGGGATCCCAACTTGAACAAAATATTCGCTCACTCTGGCACCTACCTAAGCCTCTGCCCAAGCGGCAGCTTAGATAGTGCACTCACGGCTAAGATATTGGGCTCCAAACTGTGCCCCGTGATCGTATTCGCACGGATTTGTGGCGCTTTCGCGCGAGGATCCACGCGAAACTGATGTGTCGAGCCATGAATTCATGCGAATACGGTCACGGGGCATAGTTCGGAGCAATATCTTAGCCGTGAGTGTACTATCTCAACTGCCGCTTGGGTAGAGTCTTATTTAGGGCCTCAAAATTACTTTCCACGTGAGAGCCCCATGGGTCCAGATTTGCCTGGACGCTGCCTTTAAGGTTGCGTTCATACTGATCCCAAAGTTCGGGAACAGTTCCAGCACAGTGCTCAGTATGAGCGCTGCGCTTGAACTGTTTCCGAACTTCAGGATTAGTATGAGCGCAGCCTAAGATCTTACGATAGGCTGGGCGTAACGAGCAAAAGAATCGCACGGGTAGAACACCGAAGTGTGTCTCAGCAGATTCAAAGAGTATCACGACGATCTTCGCGTGGGCTTGCTCACCACCAACTGAAGATAAGCGATGGTAGTCAGCGAATAGGCGTCAACCGCATGATTGTCGAAAGAAGAAACTAATCACGAAAACAGAATAGATCAAAGCAAGAATGAACCAAAAACCGCTTATTACGTAAGACGAACTTGTCAGAATTGCTCACAAAAGGAGAATTGGCGAAATCTCGATGCAAGAGAAGGAATCGATGCGAAGTATGTTGAATGTCAAGGAAGAACATATTCCGGAGGACTAACCTGACAGGATTGCTGGCAATGTCATTCTCAGTGTGCATAGGTAGGTGCCAGAGTAAGCGAATATTTTGTTCAGGTTGAGGTCCTGCGCAAAACTGAGCAAAAGGCGCACGAATTAACGTCTGCTGCATTGTGTCTGCTGCTGGCAGCAAACGTTGATTCGTGCGCCTTTTGCTCAGTTCTGCGCAGGACCCCAACCTGAACAAAATCGCTAACTCTGGCACCTATAGGCCGTCCGCGCAGGGCGCGGAGAGTGCGCAAGGTGTGTATTGCGCGTCAATCCTCTTTCCCCGTGCACTCTCGCCGCCTGTTTTCTCTGCGCTTCTTCCCTTCGTGAACTATCTTTGATGGACGCAAGAGCGTCGCTCTACGTGCGCAGCGCGGACGGCCTATACCATAGGAGCATAAAGAATCGCAACATTCCACAGTAAGCGAACACGATAGATGAAACGCGAAAGTGAGTTCGCAACACGAGTTGGTGCTGACCACCCACGCAGTTTACTTCCATAATAGAGAAAACCTACAGAAAAATTTTCTTTGCTAAAACGGAAAATATAATTCACTCACAATAAGAGGATACGAGCAAGACGAGAAGGCAGCCACCAAGACCCATACAACAATCAACCCAGGTGGCTGCTGTAGCACATGCGATGAGATTGTCATAGTGAATATTACACAAAATAATGTGAGGTAGAAGAATATGAGGCTAGATACAAAAGGATGAACACCAAATCAATCAGAAAACATTATGATTTCTCACAATCGTACCACCTCAAGTGCGCTCCTTCCAGCCAGTTGCGAGAAAAGCTATTCATAGAGTCCTTAAACTTTGCAAGCAATATTGACTTTTCTGAGCCCCATTTCGCATATGAACCCACAATAAGAGGCAAGGAAAGGGATGGCTCACAAACTAAAGATCTCTCATATTGAATCAATAATAATCATGGACATAAACGAGATTGCAGATATACCTATGTCAGCGAGCACGTTACTGTAGACGTCGTAACCCAGCATAGTGTCCATCTGTTATTCCGCATCTATTGGACCAAATATATATAATCAATAATAATCATGGACATAAACGAGATTGCAGATATACCTATGTCAGCGAGCACGTTACTGTAGACGTCGTAACCCAGTATAGTGTCCATCTGTTATTCCGCATCTATTGGACCAAATATAAAAGGGAGAATCGGCTGCGGGTTCGCATTGTCGATAGAGTAAGGGTTTGTCCCAGGCGATTAGGTCGATAGAGTAAACGAGAGTCTGATGGAATGGCTGAAAGGTACGCACTTCACAGTGATAACAAAAGGTGATTGTAGAGCAAGGCAGGTTATGGAAGTGTAATTGAGTTGGAGCGTACCTAGCAAAATTGGGGTCAATCTTCTGTTCCTAGCTCTCAACGCAGGTGAAGAGCATTGTTTGTTATCTGCGGCTGATATTTTTGTTCCTGACTTCACCAGGAGATCACACTGGATTATAGAGTGCAGAAGGCACTTTTTTCCTACCGTAGCCAAAATTAGTCGTAAAGCTGATGTTGACTGCAGAAACATCCGAAACGCCAATAAATGTGCGCTGCGGTACGGGCGATGCATTGCTTCATCATTCAGTCAGAGTAGGGGGACTTTTTCGGCTAATTCAGTTGTATTCCGCGTATCAATGTTGTCCCACTTTATCTTGCCCGTTTTTCAGAGGGAAAAAGTTAGCTGCTTGTGATGACTGCCAACGCAGACGTTTTTCTGACTTGTGAACACTAAGTACATATCGAGATCAGAAGGCTTCATAAAGCTGTAGAAAGGGAAAGCTAGTGCCCACAGAAAATTTCTGGAATTGGCTGCTGCGAGGACGTGCCATGGATAGATTTCTGGCCCTTTAAGAGGCAATGATGCTCAACCCGATTTTATTCTCCACTTCTATGTGTCATTTTTTTAGTTATACGCAGGTCCTTGTCTTTGTTTTCGAATATGCTCCTCACAAGAAATATGAGTGAGCTTGGCTCTCTTTCCGTCGACACTTCGACATCGTTTAAGTTATTTAATACCCGTAGCTCAGAATCAAAGAGATAAAATAGAGTTTACACAAATCCGGACCATATCACGAAGGACGATATCTCCACACAAAATCCAAGATTTGACAAGCAAAGTACAAGAAATTCAGGTTTACCACTTATGTGCACTCATCATAGCGTATAAGAACAGCGCACAGAACTACTTACAAATTCTTTCAAGTCGAGTGATAATTCTGTCTCTTTTTTTCTCCCACAATAGACGACTTTGACTCGACTTTCAGATGTACCACTTTGCCCAAACCTAGCCATGAACATCTAAGCGGAAGTGCTACGATTTGCGCTGTACTTAGTGCCGCTCTTGTCGTTTTCGGGTCTCAAATCATATCATTGGCTCCTAGCTTCATGTGGAGGCGGGTTGCGGACTTTCGCCTGAATGAAGTTGAACTTCTTAAACCTGCTCGTTGCAGCATTGTTTTCATACTCTCTCAAGTTCATCCTTTTGATCAGCGAAATTCCGCAACCGCCTCCACACAAGTGAAGCCGATCCCTGACTATTTCTCTGTTGGCTAGAAGATTAAGAGTAAAAAAAAACTCGATGAAGAGTAAAGAAGAGTATCATCATGTCGTAAGAAGATCGTATGAGATCATAGACGGCAGCATTGCGTAATAAGAAACAAATTTCAATTTAAAAGAGATGGAACGTGGGCTCAACATCTTTTGAGCCTGTTCAGGAAAGAAAAGCATGCAATAAAGATTCAAAAAATGGAACCTGCGATTACTGACACAAATAGTCCAGCTGGTCTTGAAGCACACTATGCATTGCACATAAGATTGCTGACAATATGGAAGTGTCGATCTGCTCATTTACAATACATAGTCTTTTCAAATCATCTTGCACCAGGACTGACGAGTGGATGCGGAAACAATGTCGTGCAATGTTTATTTGAAGCTCCTGGCCAGTTATACTACTATTTTATCACCTCATTACAAGATTTTGGAGCGATTACATGCCTAAAATACTACCGCGTACATCAATAGCGTGAAGCTGCATGTTTCTGCAGCCAACATTAGTTTTACGCCTAATTTTGGCTACGGTAGGAGAAAAGTGCCTTCTGCACTCTATAATCCAGTGGAGATCACAAAGTGCTACGTGACGACTTTTGACAGCCCGAATGAGAGGAGTTTCACCGTCCTAAAGGCCTCTCAGTGACTGGAAGAGAAAGCACATTTCTCATAAGAATGCGAAAAAATTTAAATGCAACCCACTCTATTTTATAACTCAAGGTTCCCTCTCCAAAATTATGTATACAATGTCCATGAATGACTCGTCAATGACCAGGTGAAGAGCCGTCCTATTCTCCTGAAATGGGGAAACGACAAGATGTTTTCCGATTTTGTAGTTCACACTTACTGAAACCCTCGCATTCACATCTGCAAACTTTTCAAGAAGAAGACGAACGATATTAGCGTTTCCGCTGCGCACAGCGCTCAGCAGAATCCAGTTTCCATACCTAGAACCATGACCTATGATAAGGACTTGTTGGGTTGTTTCATACTGCCGCACTGACTGCAGCAGACTGCAGCTGACTGCACTGACCGCAGCAGACTGCAGCAGACTGCAGCAGTCTGCAGCTGACCGCACTGACCGCTGCGGCCGCATAGATCGCTGCATTGCTTGAAAGAGAAAACAATCGCGATTGAGCCTAAACATCGTGATTTACGCCTAGGAGGTTGAGAGGTTTCAACTTACTCTTCTCAGTCAAATTTCGGTTTTCGGTCCCCATTTTTTGGTCATGCAGTCTGCTACAGTCTGCTGCAGTCAGCTGCGGTCAGTGCAGCAGTCTGAAACCGTTGCAAAGTTGACGTTTACAAACTTGTCGCTCTGATTCACGAATGCACCCGAATTTACGAGAGACTCGCAAATTTACGAGAGACTCGCAAATATCTGCATAGCCTTCTCGCGCAGCTATTCTCGAAGCCGAGAGCCCATTCTGCTATAAAGCTAGACCTTAACACTTTACTCTAATCAAACCGAGACTCACTTGATCCACAACATTCAATTTGGTTCTCGACTTAACAATAAATTCACAACAGCAAGACAACTGCCTTTAGTTGCTAGCATAAGAGCTGTCGAGGAACCCTTTAAACTAACGCTGATATCGAAAGAAAGGTTATTACATGCACAACTCCAAAGAACTACCATTCCTACAGCATCCACGTCAGCGCCCGCATTGAACAGCATTTTTTTTCACAATAGGAAGATGACCTTTTCTAGCAGCCCATATCAACGGTACTGTCGAATTTATCACAAGCATTGACCTATTAATCGAAGATACTGGAAAGATGGAAGAAACGCAAGACCAGAAATACCTGGGCATCTGCTGCAAGAAGTTTCTCAACAACCGAGGTGAAACCTTGCCCAAAGGTACGATGAGTGGAGTTAGGCCGTCCTCCTCATCGATAAGGTTTACATGAGCCTCAAATGAGATAAACCATCCAACAAAGATACACTTCGGAGGTACATCATTAGGAAGAACAAACATAACGAAACTGGTATATACAGTCGCAAATGAAAAGCGAAGAAAAAACGCTATCACTTGAGCCATAATTCAGCAAAAGATCGACTACATCGGGGTGACATTTTTAGACAGCTCATATCAGCGGACTCAAACCCATCTGAACACAGAAAATTCATGTCTGCAATTCAATGAGGGAAGAAACCTACCATATCTGGCAAATCTCCTGCTTCCAGAAGAATCTTTACGATATCGAAGTGTCTTTTATAGGCAGCATCAAGTAAAGCAGACCATCCCTCCTGCGATCAATCAATGGATAAAACTTTACATGAGTAAAGCGGAATCCTTGATAGAAGAACTCACATTATCTGTCTCATTCAAGACGTTTTGGTCCAGGCTAAGACATCTGACTGCATGTGCATTATTAGCGCGAGCAGCGACAATCAAAAGGGTTTTAGCAGTCTAGAAAATGTTTAGTAAGCGAAGTGGTAAAACAAAACTTTATAATAGTTAGAAAAAAGCTTTCAAGAATACAGTAAGTGATGGAAGACATATAGTCTGTGAAACGCAACATGTACAGTTATAAAGACGCCCCAAGAACTAAGCTTTGCAACAACAATGGAACCAACATATATATATTCTCGATAATCTTCAACAACAAAATCGGTGGTACTATTACACATCAGTTGACCCAAAAAATGAAAATCCTGTATTTCGCTGAAACTTCGTCTAGGGGGGTTATTTGGTATGCTGAACACGAATATGATGTTTATCTCGTGCGACAGCGCCATCCGATGGAGTTACGGTAGGACTACGGTGAAGGGTCAAAATCAAATGGAGTCGCTTTGGACGGGTATCCCACGAGGTGAATTCGACGGCGTCAAAAAAAATCGCTATTTCAAACCGTTCAAATTCATCTGTAATTTCATAATGTGCAACAAAGTGACTGCCACGCGCGAACGTTCAGAAAAACAATCACAGAATGCCTTCGATTGTTTATTGAAAGAAAGTGACGAAAAGTGACCAAAGCATAGACGTTAGAGAAGCAATTTTCCGAGCTGTCATCATTTATCGCCATGTTGGCGTTTCGTTGATTTAAAGACACACAGTAAGAGCTAGAGAAGACCCTGAAAAAGGATAAATGGAGTACTTAAATTGATTCATGAGAGAGTGTAACTACAGATGCTCCGGTTGCTGAACCATTTCGCATAGCGTTTTCCTGATCTCGCACGCACAAAGAACCAAAGCGTTATCGTTCGTGCTTTGAATACCATCTTTTGTATTAGAGGAAAGATGGTGGTCGATATCACAAAGGCTATCACAAAGGCTATTTTCAGATCAATACATTATGAGACAGCTTTATCAACATAAAGCTTGAACTGGAGCGACTTCATATGGACTGAGTGCAAGAACACGGCATCATTGTTTCGTTTACAACAAACAACATGACCTTAAATGCCATGTGGAAAAAAACAAAAAGCTAACTCAAATTCCACAGCTACTTGTGCCTAAGAAAGCGCTCAGAATGCCAATTTTCTGCAACACATGTGAAAAGATGTCAAGTATGCAAGTTTCCGATACCTTTCTAATCTACAACAACATTGAAATCAATTAAAATCAATTCCGAAACTTTGCAACAAACGGAGAAACGGAGTTATCGCAGACAAGAAGTAATAGAGCACTTTTTTCTCCACGCCGAATGTATAATGGCAGGTTTGGCTCATCAGCTGTAATGACGCGCCGAATGCGAATGTGTCTGCCTACAATATTTGCAAACTTTTCGGATTTATAACGAGACGGAGAGAGGAGGAGAGAGAGAGAGAGAAAGAGAGAGAGAGAGGAAAAGAAAAAAAAGAGGAAGACGTGCCTGAAAGCAGCTTGAAGTCTCTCGGTCGAGACTTAAAGCTGTTTTCAGCACGTCTTTGCGGGACCGCCGCGCGGTTTCCCGCTTTTCCATGATTTTTGAATTGCCGTTACGATTTTATATTATTTGATAGAGTGAGTTATGGCACTTTTTAGAGTGGACCTATAATTTTGTCCAGCATTGTATGCGTGACATGTGTTATTTTAACAACCATGACATGTTTTGCTGTCGCATCTACTAGATGCACGGTTGATACTTTGCAGCTGAGGGTCGGACCTCAGAAGTGCTCGTAGAGCAAACTTATATTTTAGCGTTATCTTGGGAATCCAACAGTTTTCGAATTAGTATCACCAAGGTAATGCAGCTTCTTTTTCATTCATTTTTTCTTGCAATAAGAGTTCTAGCAGCAGCTTGTATTGTACAACCCGAACATTGTAAGATTTGGCTTCATCATATTTCTTATGAAATCAAAACAATAGATATCAAGGAAGATTTGTAATTCAAACAAGTATGATATTCTAAATCAATCTCTGGATTGATTTGTTTGTGCAAAGAATGGAATGTTTAAGCTCTGAACCCTTAAAGGCTTACTATAGAGCTTCACAAAAATGGCTTATTTTCAAAGTGGGAACTGTTTAACTAGGCTAATTCGAATTTTTGAAAGTTTTTAGAAATTATTCTAATTATTTACAAGTAAAAACAAGTCCTCTGCACATTTTTATAACACATTCAAGTAACATTCAAAATCTTCGCGACCCATTCTCGGGGGGGGGGGCCTCCCCACCCCGTCCCCGCCCCCAACTACTTGTTTCGAAATTTGGAGCTTTAGACCCAATAAGCAAGAAAATTTGATTGACTCTATTTCCATTATAAGCACAACAATTGATACAAATCACTTCCCCAAATAGATTCCCCCAATTTGATTATTATCTCAGAAGTTCAACTATGCCGCACCTCTCTTCGCTGTCCCTTTTACAGAACAATTACTTGCCTCAAACTTTCCGTTGCTTCTGTCTTACTTTAATGCGGCATGTACAATACTGCAATGGTGCCACCTTTCCGGTAATAACGCCAGCGCTGCAAGAAGTTCAAACATGTGTTTCCCAAAAAAATTTTCTTAGTCCCTCAAGAAAACCTTAGGAACTCCACGATTCAAGCAGTTGACTACTTTTTGATTACCCATAGGAATAAAAGAGGGTTGGGGTGTACGCGTGGGGTGTGGCACGCCACACCTAGGGGATGGTCGTAAAGGGGTCAGGACGAGGGGAGGGGTCGTTATTGAGGTAATAGTGATGCTAGCGACATAATGTCAGTCAACATTATCTGATAGGCCCATTGCGCAAGATAGTAGCACTAGTGGTTTGGCCTACGATCGTACACGTACAGTAAGCACAATAAAAGAATCCCAAAAGCATTAATGCATCACTTTCATAATTAGCATGTGAAATACCCCTATGGACCAAGTTCCAGTTTTTTGAGGTGTCCAGATACTGAGACACTCAAATAAGGTGGTCATTTGCGAACACGTCAACTTTGTTTTAGAGGTGAATAGACTACTTCTTTTCTCGCATTAGGAATCCCACTTCAACTAATGTCCGAAATCTAATATCAAGAGCAGGCGAAATCTCGTTTGTACCAAATTTCGCTTTCAATTTCTCAGACTAGAGAAGGCCAATTAGGCTCAAATCACTTCCGTGAAGGTTACGAGGGCCAGGCTATCGAATATGCTTGTTTTTGTCACGTTCCCCTCGCGATTCATGCAGTAACGCAGACTTGGCATAATATCTTAATCCAATATTTTCATAATATTTTCCATTTGCATAACTAAGGGAAAACGATTATATCTTATTTTAGGAGAAACAATTTTGAATAAAATTCGTGATATGTGGAGAAAAAGATTCAGTAGTAACCATATAAAAATGCAGTCTTGAATGCTTTGAAGGTAAGTAAAGCTGTGGCAACCACGCTATTTAGGGGTTGTGCCACACCCCCATTAACTTTAACTTAATATCTGCTGCATGGCGAAGGCGCCATGCAGCAGATATTAAGTGTGTAGATATCAAGGTGGTCGCCCAAATAGGTTGAAGGCTGTTACCAGGGTAAAGCGGGGGGTGCGGCACGCCACACCTGGGCCGGTAGTAATCTACCCTACCTGGTGGCATCAAAGATGCCGGCAAGTTGGCACACATCGCGGAAAGATGCCAACTCCGCCGGCAGCTCGCGGAGTGATTGTAGATTTCAATAATCTTATGTAACCTTAGCACGCCATCATTTCGCACATTAAATTTTGATGACGCAGACAGCCGCAAAATTGCTACCTCGCGCGCGATCGAACCTATGTGCGTTAACTTGAAGTGCCACCACGTCAACCATTCGACCATTCGGTCAACCGTTGCCATTTGCACCAGCAATAGGAGGAACGCGCTGGTAAATGGCTGCCTGTAAAAGGGAACGATACATTGCGTGAGAGATTTTGACCTGAAAGAACAGCTGATTGATATGAGCGAGAGAGGGGCGAAAGCGATTAGATTATTTTAGAGATTTATAAGGGATTTCCAAAAAAGATGGTGTTCTTTATAATTCTGCATTACTGGATTTTTTCTCTGTAAAAAACCGTCGTTTTATAAAAGAAAAATTCATATAATGACAAAAATGATAGTTTTTTTTTTTATGAAAAGTAGAATTTCTGATTTTTCCCCTGACGTAAATTGTGTGATATCGCCGCAATTCGCAAACTCGCAGACGCCGTCGGCAAAGCTGCCACCACCTCGACGTGGTAGGGGCACGTCGAAATGCCGGCAGCTCCCTCTCTCAAAAGAGCACGCTACTTCCCGTGCTCTCTGACCTGCCGGCAGCTGTCATCTCGCGGATTTCGACGAGCTGCCGGCAGGTTGCCGGCAACTTACATCGCGAAGTTGCCGGCAACTCCTTCTGCGCTTCCAGATATTTCCCTACAGGAGGATTTCTAGAACCGCAGGGCCCTGATGGGTCGTATTGAAAGGTCAGGGAGGGGGGGGTCGCTATCGAGGCTGTAGTAAGCATTAACATAATATTCGAAACAATGTCAGATAGGCCCATTATGCCAAACACTAGCACACTGATGGTTTAGCCTACCATTATACGTAAATTAACCATGATAAGAAAGCCCTAAAAGCATGAAAGCATCAATTTCGTATTTAGCATGTCAAATAACCCCTATAGGCCAAGTTTCAGCGAATTCCGAGGTTTCCAAGTATTGGGTCACCCAAGTGAAATGGTCATTTTCGAACATGATCAACTTTGTTTCTAAAGTGATTTAGCTGTCCGTATTTGCACTCAAGACAAAGCACTACTCCTTCTTTGTCCATTTCAAAAATCTCGCTTAAAAGACCTCCAAACTGTGGAATTAGAAGCCAACCAAAATCTCATTTTTCCCATTCTTCGCTTTCAATGGCTGTGCTTTCACTAAATATTACTCAAAGCTAAGAAGACGAATCAGGCTTTAAACATTCCTATGGAATCTACGAGGTTTAGGCTATCGATTCATATAAATAATGTTTACTAAGAATGTCTTTTTGATATAGTTAATAGTGTGCGGCACCCCCCCCTCCCCTCAAAAGCTGCGGCTGCCGCAGCTTTTAAGGGGGGGGGGGTGTGCCGCACCCCATTAACTTACCCTTAAAGCCGTTGAATGCCTACGATTTCAATGTCGTTGCTACCGCTCAACCTTCTTCTCTCTATAGCACGATTTTCATTTGAAACTTACGCCTAGAATGAGATATAACGCTTTTTCTACTAACTACCGTCCATCGTGCGGCTTCCAAAATATCAGATTACGGTAGCACGCAAATTCATCTTACCGCCTCTCTGCGTTAATGCGTGAACGATGCAGAAAGGCGGCAAGTTAAATAATTTGGATGCCTTTGATTATTTTGCAATTTGTACTTCTTTTCGTCGATTTCCTTATATGGGGCCTTTCTTTCAGACACCGAGACCTTTTAGGGAAATGGGACGACAGATCTACAGTCTGGTTCTTGATTCCTCCCAAAAATGGTATGGAATTGCTGGTCGGAGCTGACGTTCGGAAGCTGGTGAGTAGTTTGAGAAGTACTTTATGTGTGCTGTTTTTTCTTCACTATTACTCAATTTTCATTTATGTTTTTGTTGTTGTTTTTGTTGTTCTGAACATCGGTCTTTGCTTTTTTTTGCTTTTTCTTTGTACATGCTGCGAATGTGAATTTCTCGCGTTTAGGTCGGTGTCTGGATTGATGCCGGATCCAGATATGAGATCCTAGCGAATAATGGTACTGCACATTTTCTCGCACATATGGCTTTCAAGGTGAGCGCAAGTGTAAATTCAGATCGCTCATTATTGTATTTTTTCTGATCTATATACATCTTTTGTTCTCTTATCAATGAGGACCAAATACTGAGAAGAGTCTGGAAACGGGACTTAAGTGCCAATTTTCGTTTTTTTTTACCTGTATTTGTGCATCATGGTCAAGATCTTGCTGTATGAAAAAGCAGCTAAAAAAGGCAATACAGCTCGAAGTGCCTGTCGATCTCCAAAGTAAGTATTTCTGTTTTGCTGCAAACCATATTTTTTCTTGTGAATGGCTTATACAAGAGAGTTTTGCACTGCTGCATGGCGGTCTTTTTATATTAGCATGGGAAATCTTTCATGCCTTTTGGCTGTAATAAATATGTTGTTGTATATTCGTACCACCCCATACTAAGGTTACAGTGCTGAATGAAAGCTAGTTAGAGAAAAAAATACTATGGCCCAGTGCTATTTTGTTGCGCCACTGATCATGCCGGCCGGCGGCCGTACGGGTACCGCCCGGCGGCCGTTCGAGTACCGGCCGAAATGTCGGTGACGGACCGGCCGGTCGTGGAACGGCCGCCGGCCGGTGCGAGTGTCTGAGACATTTTTGGCGAAGTTTGTGCAGTCACAGCAGCTACGCAATTCCTCTACGCCTGGTTTTGATTACTGTACCAAGTCAATGACCTGTTGGGATCTATAATACAATCTTCTCAACCTGTATCATCCCTATAGCGGACTAGAATTCTTTGTCATTCTATATGATAGCTTGAAAGAAATTAACTTTAGGTCCTCTTGCAAAAGCTTGTATGATTTGTGGCATTTTGGTGGATCGAAATCGGTGAATGATATCGGTGAGTTTACTTTCATTGTCTAGCACCGTATTTTCTTCTTCTTTTCTTTTTTTCATAATTTTATTGGTCTGCTTAGGGAACGGCCATAGGTTGTCGGTGTTGTCGATGTTGTTGAAGTTGCCGAGGTTGCCGGTCGTCGTAGGACCTCATGATAGCCTCCACGTTTGCCGCGCTCTCTGAGCTGTCTGTGGCCGCGACAACCCCGACAACACTAACATCGACAACACCGACAACACCGGCAACCTATGGCCGTTCCCTGAAACTATGAAAATTCTCTTCTTATTTCAGGTCTCTTTACCGAAGCAGCTGAATGCATGTCTGCAACTCTATGAGGAATTTTTTAAGACTCGCGGCATACGGGTCACAAGCTTCAGTGGCAACCACGACTTGGTCAGTGCGTTCTCAAAGCGAATTTCCGACCAGGGGTAAGATTAAATAAATTATACAAATTTGCTATTCCTATAGTCTTTTCATGTTCAGTGCGACAAAGAGTTGAAAGTATCGTTATTCCAAGCAATAGTGTTACTTCTTTTCAATGATCAACCATCTTGGACAGTTGCCGACATCATGATGGCCACAAAACTAGGTAAATTTTTTCTTGCGTCATATTGATAGCCTGTCAGTCTTATTTTACTCAGAACAAAAGGAATTTGTTCGAACGATGGTATCCGGTGAACGATGTCATGCGCCATGTCATTGCTTGGAATAACGATACTGTTTTGCACATAACTCCGACAAACAAAGAGGTGAGTAGCTTGATTAACATTCGTAAGATATTTAGGTAAGTCCACCAATTTCTATTTAGATCAATGACACAGATGTATTAACTGTCAACCAAGATATGAAAGAAATGCGTTTCCGCATCCGTATCTCGGAAGTACAATTTAGGGATATTTATATTTAGGTAAGTCCACCAATTTCTATTTAGATCAATGACACAGATGTATTAACTGTCAAAACAGATATGAAAGAAATGCGTTTCCGCATCCGTATCTCGGAAGTACGAATTGAGGGAAAGGTTTGTTAATGGGCCGGCATATTTTCTGTGTTGAATTACATAGAAGCGATCTTTTTAGGAGGAAGAATAAAAAGCAGTAGAAGAAAAAGTCAACCAAGATCGACAGTACCAAATTGATGCAGCCATTGTGCATGTTATGAAGACACGCAAAAAGCTCAACCATAAACTGCTGATCTCAGAATTATTCGCACAGCTTAGGTAAATCTACACGCTGTCTTGAATTGATGTTTTATTTCTCATCTCTTCTTCAGATTCCCGGTTCGAGCAGCAGATTTGAAAAAACGAATAGGCTCGCTTATAGAGAGAGATTATCTACACCGATTTGATAAAGATCCAAATTCGTATCAATACGTAGCTTAGTTATGTATATTAATGTACTAGCTGGCTTGATATCGATCGATGACGAAAAGTAGCCTATGACACCCGCCGGGGCCCAAAGTGTATGTGTGCCAAGTTTGGTCCCGATCGGTTCAGAAATGGAATTTTCTATTCGGAACATACGTACATACATACAGACAGACATACAGACATACAAACAGACATTCAGCTTTATATATAAGATATTTGCTTGTACACTTGTAGTAATTTGTTGTTGGAGAATAAAAACTAAATTTTGAGTGCAGGAATGCATGTTGGTTTTTATGGATTTGTTATCCAAAGTTTCTGTTTTGAGTCGTTTGATGTGTTTTTAGCAAAATTTATCCTTAGATGGCTGGCAAAGCTCCTGTTCTGACCGCTCCTTTGGTCGCCGTTACTTGTTACCAGTGCGTCACCTCTGCTTCGCAGAGGCTCGCACTGGCCTTACTTTCTGTATGCCTAACTCATTCCCGCATAATAATGACATTGAAACTCACCGAGCCATGCAGGCTATCACGAATGATTTGTAAACAACTACTCATTCTTAGAGCTTTTTTGTGTGAAATCGGCATTTTTACGTGGATGAAACTTTTCTGAGAAAAATTAATGCGAATTTGATTTGGTTTTTAAACTTTCTATGGCCTAATAGTCGCCATGACGACAATAATCACCGTGGGCTACATCCCCGTGCAAAAATCTTCTGAGATGATGAGGTAAAACCTTGGCAAACTGAACATTTACGCAACTAACTCTTTTTGGCGCCATTTTCGTGAAGTAGCCAACTTTAGTTCAATTTTCTGGGCTAAAGGCTTTGGCTTCCACATTAGTTTGTCAAACATATCCATGACTCCGCAAAAAGTGTTGGTACCGGCCCAACTTTGCTGGTCAGAAGCCAAGTGGATCCGTTTGACACGCAATTTTCAACGGATCCACTCAACGGATTCGCTCAAGCTTTTGCATGACGGACTTGTATGCTGGCAACATGCGCTGTGCAAAATTTGAGCTCAAGTTATTGGCTGGAACCCGTCCTACGAATTTCGTAACAGACACACTCTCACACACACATACCAAAACACGTGAACACCCTCAGCCCGTTATTATAAGTTACTAGCCGGCGGTCCCGGTTTCACTCGGGTCTCCAGTTTAGCTAAGAAGAAGTTACCCATACTTACGTTTTTGAGCTTCTTCTACGCAAAAAGGGCTTTGAAACGAAATGCCCGCATCTTTCCGACATTGAGATTAAAATGAGCTTTACCATCCTTTGACTACATGATCATGGCGAAATGATTGGTTTGAGCATGTCAAGCCTCATTTTCCCAGATGTAAGTAAACAAATCAACAAATCAGTAGAAGGATCTAGTAAATCGCCGCGAAAAGTAGCCTATGTTCTGCGCCGGGGTCCAAAACATAAGTGTGCAAAGTTTCAGCTCATTTAGTCCACTCAGAAAGATTTGTATAAAAAACATACTTATTAACAGACAAACACACTTTGAGTTTTATATACAGGGTGTCCCAAAAGTATGTATCGAACGTTTGATCGTTAATATCTCTCTTCCCAAGAAGTCTTTTGCCTTGCTTCAAGTACCATTTTGTAGAGCTGGCTTCAACTTAGATTTGCATTAAAGAACGAATCACCCATCTCTCTTCATTACTGTAGGATTACGGTAGAAACTTGAAACATATGGTGTCAATGTGGAAAAAGCTGCAGTTCCAAAATTCTTCAAAAAATTGTGAAAACTTGTGTAATAGAGTTTTTATGGATGCTGAGTTCAATACTCAACTATTTACAAGATTACAAAGCTTTCTAAACGGTGTAATCGCACTTTTTAGGAACATTGAAAAAATGGCCGCTACCTCTTACCTGGCATAACTCCTCAATGAAGCATCATAATAAGTTGGGAACTTTACAGTTATAATCAGCAACTCTAATTAGCCTAGTGTGAAAACTTTCAGGCTGTTTTATTTCTTTTCTAAGGCAAAATATGGCCTTTCATTGCTTAAAACCCTCTTTGAAGTTTCTACCGTAATCCTATAGTAATGAAGAGGAATGAGTGATTCGTTCTATAATGCAAATCTAAGTTGAAGCTAGCTCTACAAAATGGTACTTGAAGCAAGGCAAAAGACTTCTTGGGAAGAGAGATATTAACGATCAAACGTTCGATACATACTTTTGGGACACCCTGTATATAGAGATTATGGATGTAATGCTCAAATTCCTCAAGATCGTTTCCTAATCCCTGAATTTGTGTTCTAGCTATGACGGTTACGGTTTCCGAAAATGGCAACGGGAGGCACCGGTTTGGCGTAGTTGATATGCTGTATCAGGTAAATATCCGAGTTACACGAGTTTCCATTAACGAAAAATGGTTTTTGATTCTTTATGTTTTCGCGATTTTCATGAGCTTGGCTAATGCAATGGTCTATCCGCCATGTGATAGGGACTTTCGATCTTTCGCCGGAATCCCAGCAAAGCTCTAGTTAGCTTTTTTCCGAAAGTCTGGTTTCTGTGCGACTAACTTAGGTTTACCTTGAAAGTGAATATCAGTGAACTGAGTGGAGTTATGAGGCTTTTAGCATCCTTTGTGAATTTCCAAAGGGGGTGGGTAGGGAATGGGGGGGGGGTCGCGCCGAGGTCTGGCCCAAGGGGGGGGGGTCGTATCCGACGGTCGTGTGCCGCACCCCCCGCTTTACCCTGGCTGTTACGCACGCGGCGCGCGGGCAATTGTCAGCCACGCTGAGCGCGCATGCTCCAGTGATTGGCCGCTGACCGAGCGTAGGCGTGCTCGGTCAGCGGGCATATTTACCTCCGGAAGGAGTTTTAGCGAACAAAATATGTAAAATTTGATAGCCATAGTCTTGTAGTTTTCATAGGAGCAATTTGGGCCTGATTCATGTTCTTCGCTTCGAGTAGAAGCTGGTGAAAGCGCAGCCATTGGAATCGAAAAATGGGACAAACGGGATTTTGACCTGCTTTTAATTCCATAGTTTTATGGCCATTTGAACCGATCTATGGGGTGGGTAAATATGGAGTTATTCAGTACAAAAAAAATTAGCTCATTCACTTGAAACATAGTTAATCATGTTTGAAAATTAGCACTTTACTTGGGTGGCCCTTATTGTGAACCCTCAGAATTTGCTAAAACTTGGCCTGCGAAGGTTATTTGACATGATAATTCCGAATCTTTGCTTAATTATGCATGTGAGCCTATATTTCATACCTACGGGCAAACGATAATGCTGGTGGTGGGAGGGGGACAGGGGGGGGGGGCGTGTCCGGCGCTTGTGTGTCACACCTCTTGCTTGACGCTAATGATAATTGCCGTTCCAGATTTTTGCACATTTCCCTGCCTCTGCCCCCACGCTCCACTATGTTTTCGTCGATATGCCGTCTTACCTCCTGTACCAATTCCAGCCTCATAGCTCAAATATTGCAAAAAAATTGATATAATGGTAAAAGTCGGAGATAAATTTAAAAGCTAGTACTGTATTCCTAATCAGCATGCTCACTAAAACCCTGTGCGCACTCGCAACCCTGTAGCCCAAATTCTGCAAAAAATCGATGAAAATCGATAAAAGTGTCGATCGATAACGAGGAGTAGCCTCAGACACCAGCCCCACCTCGAAGTATATGTGTGCCAAGTCTGGTCTTGTTCGGTTCAGAAATAGAATCTTTTATTTGGAATATACGTACTGACAGACAGACATGCACGCAAATAGACATTTAGCTTTATATTTGAGATGATAATATTCTCTCTATAAAGCTCCAAGTTTTAATCCTTACTATTTCTTTTTAGTCAAAGTGTCTTTTCCGAATAAGTTTTATGCTGTTCAAAAGAGCATTGAATGTTGACTATAAATCTGCTTTCAATGTCTGCGGAGCGCCTTTAGACGCCAAGTTACGAATCCTGTTTGGAGCGAAAAATGAACACAGAATCAAAAGGATCAATCGTCGTAGTTTTCTCCGCGCTCGAATAGAGAAGTGTTGTATATGAGTGTATTAGACAGAAAGCTGAATAAAGCGCAGTGATTTTCGACGCTAACCATTTGGGCAATTGTGGACGATTTTGTCGTTGCGCATTCGAAATCTCTACTCAAAAACGCTGATAGCTTGGCGTCCAGAGATGCTTGACAGATGACGAGGACACATTTGGAATCAACGTTTGATGCTCCTCAAAATGGTTTAAGTCATCTAAATGGAACTTTGGCGCAAACGCTTTCCTTTTTAGATGGCTTTGTGCTAACGGCGTGAATTTGCCATATCAAATGAGGAATTGCATTCAAGGTCAAGCATGGGATGCGGCATGCCACACCCCATCCCACACCTAAGGGGTTATTGAGAAATCAGGGAGTGGGGGAGGGGAGGGTCGTTATTAACGTGATTTTGATGCTAGCGATAACAAATAATAACAATGTCAGAAGGCCCATCATGCAAAATACTAGAACATATGTTTTGGCTCACCATTGTACGCATCAGTAAGCATAATAAGAGCCCTCAAAGTATAAGAGCATCATTCTCAAAATTATCATGTCAAATAACCCTTGTGAGCCAAGTTTCAGCGAATTCTGAAGGTTCAAATATTGGCCCACTCAAGTGAGATAGTCGGGTTGACTACTTCTTTCTGCACTTTATACAAAGAGTTACCACTTATTCTTATTTTAGCAACTCTACCTTAAATAAGCTCCAAATTGCTGTATGAAGAAGAAGGCCAAGCAGTAGCAACGATATAAAAAACGCAAGTCTTTGAATGGTTTTAAGGTAAGTTAATGGGGTGTGACACAACGCTTGAAAAGGTGTGACAGCCACAGCCTTCTTAGGGTTGTGCCACACCCCATTGACATACCTTCAAAGAGAACTTTAGGGAACAATTCGTTCACCGTTTGCTAGCCAATATCTCGTAGTTTTTGCGGAACCAATTAGAGCTGAAATCGTCTTCTTTCGTTCAAACAATAGTTGCTGGAAGTATTAGGTTGTCCGGAAATCAATGTCCGTTTTGAATTTCCAC